GTACCATTTTTTTTTTTTTTTTTTTTTTACATAATATCCCAATAAAGAAATTAAAGGTTTTCCACTGTTTCAAAACTAGAAAATTGCCTGTATACTTTTAGTTGTATAAGCCTGCACCTTTTTTTTTTAAAGTGAGGGCTAGGGATCTAGCTCAGTGGTGCTGCACCTGCCTGGCAGGCACAAGGTTCTGAGTTTGATCCCATACTGAAACAGAAAAACAAGTGAAATTCATATAGCAAAGTTAACCACTTTCCACAATTTCATGGCATTTATTACATACATGTACTGCCTCTGGTTTGAAAATGAATTTTTTGTGTCTGGCTTGTTTCATTTAGCAGCTTCATTTACTTGGCATAATGTTTTATACTGCAATTCATTTCATGGCTGCATAATATTCCATTTTATGTATCTACCACAATTTGTTTATCGGTTCGCCTTCTGATAGATACCTGAGCTATTTACACTTTTTGATTATTGTGAATAGTGCTGCAGTGAATATTGTGTACATGTATTTGAGGAACAGCTTTCAGTTCTGGATATATACTTAAAAGAATGGAAGTACCAGGTAATATGGTAATTCTCCATTTAATTTTTGAGGAACTACTAACCTGACAGTTAACCATTTTATGTTCCTATTAGTGCGTGAGAGTTCCAAATTCTCCAACCCCTCCCCATCACTAGCTATTTTCCTTTTTTAAATTCTAGCCATCCTAGTGGTGTGAAGGGATACCTTGTGGTTTTACTTGCATAATTAATGATACTTAGCACATTTTCACATGCTTATTACTGTTTTTATATTTTATTTGGAGAAAAGTCCTTTGCACATCTTTTAATCAGAGTGTCTTTGATGTTCAGTTGTAAGAACTCTTTCTATATTCAGTGACTTGGATTTTTTTTTTTTTTTTTCGGTTACCGGGGATTGAACTCGAGCCCTTCTGCTTTGCGAGGCATGTGGTGGAACAACTGAGCTAATTCCCTATCCCCTTCTTTGTATATTCTGGATAGCAGATCCTTACCAGACATTTGATACATAGATGTTTTCTTCCATTACATTGGTTGTCCTCCCATCTCTTGTCTCACCACCGTCACTGGCACTACCGCGACAACCATCCTACCTCCATCACCACCAGCACAGTCACTGTCACTAGCACCGTACCATTATCACCTTGTCTATGCCCTCACCACCATCACCGCTTCACCGATACCACCTCCAGCACATTGCTGTCACCTCTACCCTCTACCCATCCTGTCCTCTCCATCACTGAGCACTCCACTGCCACCACCACCAGCACTGCCGTGCCTACCACCCCACCTCCGTCACCACCACCTCACCCTGTCTCCAGGACCACAACAGCGCCGCCACTGCCAGCACTGTGCCCCTCACCTCCCTCACGGCCACCACTCATCCATCTAGGATGTTCCTTTCACCATCAGAGCACTCAGCAGAGGCACTGACGATTACACGCCACCACCGACGCCAGCCCCACCCTGCTTTCAAATAAAAGAATTTTCATCCAGTGTATACCTACGGTATCTCCTTTTTCAAAACTGTCACTCTACCCACTGAGAGAAGTATTTCTACTCCCATTTTATGGGTGAGGGAAACTAGCCTCAAAGATATTAAACTTGGCCAGAGTCATATAAATAGTAATATATAGACTGGACTCACATTCTAGTCCGCCTGATCCCACAGCTGGTTCTAACAATATCTGCTGTGCTGCCTATAAAGAAAATTAAGATGTGTGATTCAGCCTGACCTCAAACAGCTTCTTCCTTAGCCTTCTAGGTAGCTGTGATTACAATCTTGTGCCTGACTCCTTTTTAGTTTCTTGAGGATATCCTTTGATACACAAGATTTAAAAAATTTTTATTAAATTCAGTTTATTTTTTCTTTTGTTGCTCTGGTTTTCTGTATTATAAAAATCCATTGCCGAATCCAAAGTCATAAAGATTATTTCCCATGTTCTAAGAGTTTGTGTGTGTGTGTGTGTGTGTGTGTGTGTGTTCTTGTAATTAAGTTTCTTTTCCATTTTGAGTTACATTTTTACATGGCTGGAGGTATAGGGACCAAGTTTATGCTTTTGTATACATACCTAGTTGTCCTAGTACAAATAGAGACTATTTCACAAGTTGCTTTTTGACACTACTGTAACTTACTGGTGATCAATTCTAGTATCTTGGTTGGCCAGCTGTGATTCATCAGACCCACAGCTGAGTAAATTTCAATTCTAAAGTAGTAGTTTTTTCCTCAGCTAATCATTATATAAGCCATGATCAAATATTTGGTGAGTAAATTTTTATTACAATAGAAGAAACATTACCACTATTACCCTCAACCTACTTCCCCTTGCTTCAGACACTGTTCTTATCATTTCTGAAGTAATTCTGGAAGTCTTGTAAGTCCTTGTAAGTGTGATAATATAGTGAATGCTGCCACTGAGGGATGTCCAGTGGAAAGGAAGGCTCTTAAAAACAAAGTTATGTTGGGGCCGGGGATTTAGCTTACTGGTGCTACCCATCTCACAAGTGCAAGACCCTGAGTTCTATCTGCAGTACCAAAACACAAAGTTATGTGTTCATCCACCTTATTCAGCAGATGTGCCACCATGTGACTTTTCTGTCTTCCCTAAAGTCGAAATGACCGTGAAGGATGAATATTTTGAATCAGTTGAGGACAATGAGACAGCCGTGGCAGCACAGCTAATGACACCAATGAAAGAGAACTTCCACAGGTCCTTCAGAAAGTGGCAAGAATGATGGGGTACATGTATTCCAATCAAGGGGGAATATTTTGAGGGAGAGTAATGGCAATGTGACTTTTACAGTAATTAAAAATGTATATATTCATCATAGTTTTCTGTCCGATTTTTTTTTTTTTGTACCAGGGATCGAACTCAGGTCCTTATGCTTGCAAGGTAGGCGGTGGAACCACTGAGCTAAATTCCCGGCCCTGTCAGACATCTTATATGTAAAGAGACAGTGGAAAATGCTATCTAGTTAGAATATAGCTCCTGCTGATACCCACGTAGAGAAACATTCAATAGGGAAATGCAAATCTAAACAACTTCATACATGTACTGTATTGTGAAAGATGAATTGGCTAAATAGAAAAAGACCCAGTGCTTTAGCCAAAAATAATCTTTATCATAATTCCTTCCTGGGAGCCCCTCAGGAATTTTGATTTACACATCATTGGTTAGAATTGTGTCAAATTATGCTGGACTAGCTTTATCTGCAGATAAGTCTGCAAAAATGATTATTCTACTTTCTAACTTCTCTAGAGAGGGTGAAGGGGATTGGGAAGGAATGTAGAGAGATATACTCCATAGTATTTGCCACGGAGACAGACCTGACCAAATGTGTCTACAATCTGATGTTACTGTTGTG